ATGTTTAACAACACTTGCATTTGACTTACAAATTGTTTATGGACACTTTCATAACGCGGATGCAGGTAGGCAATGTCTCACATATATCGCTCTAGTCATAAAATGCCGAAACCACAAGCCTACTGCACCTCTATCTCTATCGGTGGGAGGTAGAAAATGTGTACTTCTTGTCGTCAAACGCTCCAAGCACATGCATACGAGAGGACCACAATCCCCTCTGGCTTCCTTCGTTTGTTGTGGCGCGGTCTCGTCTCTGATAACTGTAACATTGAACTTCTTTGGCTTCTTGTTTCCAGACTTAGTCCAATAATTAATTGCATCCAAGAATTTAGCCAAATGAGAGCTCCATCCCTTAATAATATCTCTCAAATCAGACAATGATATGTAATTTATCATGCTGTCATATACTATTGTCTTTAGGGATGGGAGCTGAAGCTCGACGAGAAGCCAATGAGTACGGTCCAAAACAGGGATAAACACCTGTATCGAAATGTAATAATTCAAATTGCACACTTATTTATGAACACCTTTAAAATATTTAAACAAATATACTAACCTTATCGACCTCCCATCATGCAGGATAAAGTTTAGCTTGTCTATTAGCAAACACATATGATTCATGTCGTTAATTCTTCAAGTGAACTACGTGAAAAGACGTCGGCATAATTGTATATCATGTTTTTTTATATATTTCTTCAATTTCCTTACAATTAGAAGACGTGTCACTCATGCATCAATATGTTGTTTTACAAAAAAAGACATATATTAGTGAATTACATAAATTTAAAAAAAAATTAATCAAACTGAAATATAAGAAGAAATATAAGACTTACCCCCCATCGAAATAGTTGTTGTCTTCAACCCCTAATAATACACCCCACCAAGACCGTTCAATCAACAAATGCATATCATCGTTGAGTTTGTATATATCAGTGTAACACCCTTGGCTCCGCTCATGTATATAAAAATCAACTCGGTCTTAGCCCAAAGGGTATTATCCAGAATTGTTTCCGGTAGTTGTTTCCTCTCCACTTCATCTACCGGAATGGTACTGGCCGGTAACTTATACGAAAGCCAATAGTCATCCATCATGTCCGGTACGTGAGGGGGCTTCTCATTAATTCGATATATTACGCCGTGTGAATCGGGCTCTAGAATGTTGGGAGGGACCTCTTCAACGATGACAGTGGCCTCTTGAACGGTAGGAGGGGACTCTTGAGGGATGATAGGGGCCTCTTGAACGATAGGGGAGGCCTCTTGAACGATGACAGGTGAGTCGGGCTTTTTCTTACGGATTCTTCGCACTATTGGGGTGAACGGAGACGTAATGGCACGTGCACGCCGTCTGATGCGTGAACTCCGTCTTGCAAGAAAAACCCGACGTAGAGCATCCACCTTAGCGGGCCGCTAAAAATAAATTAATACATAAATCAGTAAATAAACAGACATGATATTAAACAGTGAAAACAAAGACAAATATATTTCAAACTTGCACGGTATTCACCCAAGTCATTATTATATCATTGTTTACAAAATGCATCAGATAACATTCCAGAAGTAAGCACTTATATAAACATTTAAAAGGACAACATATAGGTTTAGTGCAGGTTCAATGACAACATAAAGAGTAGTAGTTTATTCTTGAAACTTAAATTTTCAACACTGTGAAGTTAGTATTTATCTTTTGGTTGAAGTAATGCAATTCATTCAAGTTTCAATTTGCACAAGGAGAATAGAATCTGAAACTTAAAATCGCAACGCAAAAATGACTATCGCAACGAGAGAATCGCAATGTGAAATGAAAATCGCAACGCGAAAATGACTATTGCAATGCGAAAATGACTATCGCAATGCGAATTTGACTATCGCAACGAGAGAATCGCAATGCGATTTTCATTTCGCATTGCGATTCTTTCGTTACGATAGTCAAATTCGCATTGCGATAGTCATTTTCGCATTGTGATAGTCATTTTCGCATTGCGATTCTCTCGTTGCGATAGTCATTTTTGCGTTGCGATAGTCATTTTCGCATTGTGATAGTAAACTATTCTTCTTCTGCAAATTGAAACTTGAATGGATTGCATTACTTCAACCAAAAGACAACCAAAAACAAATACTAACTTCACAGGGTTAAAGAATAAACAGTTAAACAATATTGGCAGCAACCGAATGAATTTACTAAGCAATCTAAGTGAAATTACGAGTAAATTTATCATCAAGTTAAATATGAAAAATATTAAACTTACCTCGTTGCATAGAGTATGAACCTCGTTCTGCAACGGTGCTACAATCTCACGTAGAGCTGCTACCTCACCACGTAAAGTAGACACCTCAACACGCCATGCACCATTGTCATCGCGTAAAGTACCGACCTCCTCACGCAAGGCATTGACCTCATTTCGTAAATCCCCTAACTCATCCCGTGGAGGTGGAGAACAGGGAGATAAACTTCGTGGCATCTTTGCCGGTCGCCTATCATGAGGTGATGGTGGAGAAGAGGCTCGATGATGTGACAGAATAGGTGATGACTCTCGTTGTGGAGGTGTATATTCGGGTCGATCAGGTGATGGCTCTGGGTGAGGTGATGGCTCTCGAAGTGGTGGCTGCTCATCATCCGTGCTATCAAAAAAACGCTTACTAGCTTGCCACCAATTAGTGGCAAGCTCAGCTTCCGTGGGTGTCAGCCTCTGTAATGGAGTGTTGGCCTCCTAACAATATAAAAGCTCAAATAAAGTTAAACGTGTACTAGTAATAACTTGTTTATAAACATATGGTAGTATTTGTGTTAACTTACATTATTTATTGTAGTATACAGTAGTAAATCTTCCCATTGCTGCAAGGACCGTTTTCTTTTCCAGGAAATAGCCCTAGGAATATCATTAGAAGTTTTTAATGCATATGTCTGCATGGCGGGAAAGGCCTCAAATATCCAAATCTACAAACAATATAATAACAAACATTAGTAATTGTTAAAGAATTAATTATAATTTTGGAAACATTATATAGAAATTATTACCTTAAAGGCCCAAATAAAGCCTGACAAAGTGTATTTGGAACCATCGCCACGCAAACTTTTTCGATCATCAAAGGCAGATGACAACTTATTCCCTGTATCTCTCCATAGATACGAACCCCACGGAAACAAGTTCCATGCATTTAGGTCCTCTACCAATTTAATTAGATCATTAGGAATAGGTTGTCGGGCCTCTCTGCCTAAAAAGCCGGCTTGCAAAAGTATTAGAAGGCATACTCGGACAACATCGACGCCATCCATCCGAGTAAAACCATATTTCTTATTCAATAATCTCGTCAAGTCTTCCACATGTAAATTCGGCTTCTCCGTTGACAGCTCAGGAAAAACTCGGGAAAACCATGATAGGCGGGTAATATGTCTAGTGTACTGATCTACATCATCGTGTCCGAAGCGTAGACCGGTGATTAAGCAAAACTCCTCCCGCCCAAAACACGTATACGCCGGTGGAAAATCAAACCATATCTCTTCATCACGACGTTGTATAGTCTCTGGTAGATCGCTAGTCATGGTTTGAAGAAACAGATGGGTCAACATAGCATCTCCACCCGGATGTTGTACTTTCAGCCATGGCCCGAAGCAAGTATCCTCAAATATTTTTCTTTGTGCATGTGAAAGCTTCGATGCAATTGTTTTGGCCAGGCTTACTTTATTTCTTAAGGTCAATTGAGCCGAATAAAAGTTCTGCAAAAACAATAAACATACCAATTTAGATATACCAAAAACTACACTGTGAAGATATAACAAGAACAATAAACATAAAGAGTAGTAGTTTATTCTTCAAACTTAAATTTGCAATGCTGTGAATTTAGTATTTGTTTTTGTTTTTTTGGTTGAAGTAATGCAATTCATTCAAGTTTCAATTTGCAGAAGAAGAATAGTTTCTGAAACTTTAAATCGCAACACGAAAATGACTATCGCAACGCGAATTTGACTATCGCAACGCAAGAATCGCAACGCGAAATGAAAATCGCAACGACAGAATCGCATTGCGATAGTCATTCTCGGTTTCAAATACTAAAATTGAAAGAAACTTGAATGGATTGCATTACTTCAACCAAAAGACAAAACAAAGACAAATACTAACTTCACAGGGTTAAAGACTAAACAGTTTAGCAGTATTGGCAGCAATCGAATGAATATAATAAGCAATCTAAGTGAAATGGTTAATCTATTATTGAAAATACCAGTAAACTTATCATCAATTTCAATATAAAAAAACCTAATAATAATGCAAAAATTTCAAAATAAAAATAATTAAAAAAACTAACCCTCGGTGGTTGATTTGGTTGATTTTCCATTTCTGACCGTGAATGATTTCGCCAGAGATAGAGACTGATATCGTCGTGGGGACTGATTTCGTCGGAGATGGAAACAGATGTCGCCTTAGAGAGTGAGAGATGGAGATGAGACTGAGTTGTGATTTAGGGTTTTAGGTTATGAGTTGCGATTACGGGATATATTGTGGACGGTTCAGTATTCCGATAAATTAATATATTCGTGTTTGGAATTTGAAAAAAAAATATGCGTTAATACGAATGGCGCTATGTAAATCGCATTGCGATTTAGGAAAATCGCAACGCGAATTTGGGAAATCGCAATGCGATAGTCAGAATCGCGTTGCGAATCTGGAAACTAATTTGCGATACCGGAGATCGCATTGCGAATTATCGATCGTATTGCGATTTAGTTGGTTATTATGGCAAATCCAAAAATATTTGATTAAAATATTACATTATAAGGTATTTTTGGTCAATGAGATTATTTTTTCTTTAAAAAATAACAAAACCAAAGAGCAGAGCCAAGGGTAGCGGTGAACCACACATCTATATAAAAATATAGATGCTGTTTGACTAAGCATTTTTGTTTTTTCTGTTATGTATGAAAGTGACTGAACCACAACACGTTGCACCCAAGGCCGGGTCGATCGATAGTGGAAATTAAAGATTCCTCTAGAGGAACCATACACGATTTCATAAGGTTTTTATTTATCGTCTTTCTAGTATGTCTGTTATCCTTATTCCTATTTTTCTAAGAAAGACCAAGTAAAAGAAAGCCTTTGTCTTGATTGAAACCTAGTGTGTTTTGTTGCAATGGATGCGTTGGGACTTCTGAGAATCAAGGTCATAAAAGGCTTCAATCTTGCTGTCCGTGATAAGGTATCGGGTACCAGTGATCCTTACGTTGTCATCACCACGGCTGGTCAGGTTTGTTGTGTTTGTGTTTCCCTTCATCTCAGCCATTAAAGTCTCTTGGCAAATTTCATCTGGATAGATTATGTCATAATTTAGGACCTCTCAATGAACAGAGTATAGGGTTGTTGATTTATCTGACAATAAATGTTGCAGAAAGTGAAGACCCGCGTTTTGAAGAAAAACTGCAATCCGGAGTGGAACGATGAGTTAACTCTCCAAATCAAAGATCTCAATGCTCCGATCACTTTAGTAAGTAACATCTGATTCCACCGCTCCAAATCTGCAGTTTCTATGCATGCCATTCACCGCAACTTACATCGAATTCGAATTCGCTTCGATTTTGCAGACGGTGTACGACAAGGACACGTTCAGCGACGATGATGCGATGGGAACCACGGCGATCGACATTCAGCCGTACGTAGAGGCAGTGAGGTTGAGGAAGAGCTTGGGAGAACTCCCGAACGGCGTTGCACTGAAGAAGCTACAACCATCGGGGACAAACGACCTGGCTGATGAGAGCTGCATTATTTTGGAGGATGGGAGGATCACCCAAAAGATGCGTCTCAAACTCAATGATGTCGAAAGTGGGCAAGTGTTGATCCAAGTGGAGTGGGTCGATATCCCTGGCTCCAAAGGTTTGGACCCTGATTACTGAACCTATGTATGGCTTCAACAAGTTTATTCTATCTGCTTTAGAGTTTCTGTGAACCGATCAGTTAGTACGTTGTTCCACTTCCAGTATATTCTGTAAGCCTAAAAATCTTGTTTCGATTCGTATGTAATGATGCAGAATAGCACGTAATAGATGAGTTTTGACATAATATCTAAACTAATAATTGAATTTGATTCAGGGGTGTAAATAAACAAAAACGTATGATGAATTGTTTGTGTAACATTCGTTTATTAAGCTAAATAAAAGAGTATGGGTAAATTTTTTTATTCATTTAATAAACGAATGAACATAAATAAATGTGTGTTCAGTTCGTTTATATTTAAGAGTAAACTCATTTAAAAGTTGATTTATTGGCTCGTTTATCTTTTTCTTTTCCTTTTATTTCTTTATATTTTAAATATGGGTGAAGATAGAGACTAAATCAAAAGATATGGTTTAGTGATGAAATGTATAACATTTTATAATTGTTGTCCCTAGAATTAGAAAAGTTGAGTTATAGATTAAATTTATTTAATCTCAATTATTATTTTTCATTAATATAAAAACATTAAATTTATTTAAAATTAAAATAATTTTATACTATGTAATTCGATGTTATCTCTTCTAATCTTAACTCTAAATATCTTAATATAAATATGCATTCAAAAGTAAAATATGATTTTACAAAACATAGCGAATGAAAACATATTCTAATATTTTATGACTAATTTAATAATAATATTATATTTAAAATTAAACATTAAGTATCTAGTTTTGAAATTTTAATTGATAATAAAATTTATAATTTATAATTTTATTTTGTTTATCGAATATATCATATCACAATTTTTTGAGCCAAATCAATAAGAAAAATGTCACAAACTCTAATATATCTTATAGGTCAAGGTTGGGTTAAATTACAATCCCTAAAAATAATTGAATTTGAATGAAATTAAACATAAATGATAAGATTTATATATATATATATGGTTTTTCATTAAAAAAATATATCAATAATTCTATATATATTTGATTTTCCCCATACTCAACTCAACTCGAATTGACCCTAAGATTCAAGTTTGACACAAACTAAAAATGCTTGATCTGATCCGAGAATCAAGTTATTCGATTTGACCTGACCCAAAATCAAATGATTTAATATTTACTCGAACCAAAACTCTAATTGATATGATTTTGACCATAACATACACCCGATCCGACTTATATACCTGAATAAAACCAAATCTCAAAATAACAAACGTGACCCGAATCAAATTTAAACCCAAAGTAACTCGACACAAAATGACTCGAACAAAATCCGATCCAAATAATTCGTTTGCTATCTTTATAGTTTACCTTACATCAATAAGACAAGTTTTCATTATAATACTTTCCATATTATATGATTTTCTAATAACTGAAAACGATTATAAGAGAATATTTGTTCATAATTTTTTCTTAGTCGTTGATAATATATACATACTCTACATATAGAGTTACTCGAACATGGGTCATTTAGAGAAAATAGCATTATCTTTTATCATTGAAACCACTCAATCAATGATAGACCGCCCTTAATCGTCCAAAAAAGTTTTAAGTTATTATATATTTCATTTTTTTCCATTGATAATCTATTTTCCCTCATAGAATTTTATAAATTCATCACCTAATCTTTTAAAAGTTCACCCTTAACATAAAATTATATGTTTGCATCTGCACCTAATGTGCTCCATATTATATGATCTTGAATATTCATATATAGTTTTTATCATTGACTATTTTATTAATTTATATATACGAATAAATCTATTAAAACAGCAAATAATCTATAATCGTATACCAAACTTTTTATGAAGTCAATATGATAATTACTTTCACAATAGAATGGCAACATTATGTGCCATCAATGACTTCGGATTCATCATGGAAAAACTCAGATCAATTAAACTATCCATTCTGATTTTTTAGGGGAGAACAGAAAGAGTGAAGATGAAAACGAAAATCAACCACCGCAGCTTGTAATGCATGGAATGCGACCTACATTGATTAAAATTAATTCAACCTCATCTTTGGGTGGTTGATACTGTGATGAAACATCAGCAATTCCAGGCAAGTATACAGCCTTTGTAGGGCCTGCTTTTATTAGCCATGCTTTCTATACTGGAAATAATAATCAATAGTGGGCTGAAAGCAGTAGCGAATGTACGTGTTCTTCAAAATGAGTATGTGTTTATTTTAAAATTTGAATTGTTTTTATGTTAGTTATTCGTTTTTCGATGTTCACATTAAAATCTTAATCGTGTATGTGCATACGAAAAATTTATGTTATTAATATATATATACCTACTATTAAAATATTTCTAACTCTATTAGTGAACTTGGAAGAGAGAGATGAGGTAAGCAGTTCTTTAAGTCACAGTTTTAAATGCCCCATCCCCTCCCTAATGGCTCACAGGCAAACATTCATTTCATTGGGGGAGAATACTATACACTTCCCTTGCACAAAACTAGTAGCTTCTTCTCGTACTTCCAAAGAATCTTTTGAACTTCTCAAAACTTTATAATATTTAGAGAAGAAAGTTCTCTCCTTTTTTCAAGTCAATTTTATATTTCAAAGGGTTCTTTTTTCTATGGGTTTAGTTTGACAAAAACTGATTCTAAGGAAGTTTCTATGACTTATCGTATATCTCTCTTCAGTCCCCTTTAGTTTTGAACTTTGCTGATTACACTATATAACAGTATAATTTGGTAAATTATTTATTTGGTCACCCACTCATTACTTAGCTTCTATCTTAATCATCTAATTATTATTTTTTCAACATACTTAACATTATGTTTTGGTTCTATTTAGATAACATGCCGTTAAAAAATTAACAATAATGTTAGTATGTCATCTTAAGGTAATGTCACGTCTGCAGTATTAAAAAATAATTAAAATTTTACTATATCAATATTACAGTTAATTTGTTAATGACAGATGATTAAAATAGAATTAAAATATAATTTTAGATGTAATTTTGATAATAAAAAAAATCGTAGTTATCTTATCCATACAAAAATTAAATAATAGGTGAGTGATAAGAAGTAAGTAGTTTACCCTTTAAAATTATATGTCAATAACCCACATTGGCACACTGAATAAATGTTAAGTTCCAACTAAAGATACAGTTTGGATATATAAAAACCATGACCTACATCCCTAGGCTAAAACCCTAATAATAGTAGTATTCCCAGATGTCAGAAATTGCCTTAGCTTCAACATGTTTCAACTTTTCATTGTTGGGTAATTAAAATTGATTGAAAAGAGAGAAGAACATGGTTTGGTTTTGTCCCATAGTAGTTTTCATATATTTGCACTCTTATTTATATTAACTCGGAGGAGTAGGTAGAGTGCATATGAGGATTGTTTGGTAAGGAGTGGAACTGTTGTACATAAATGAACTGTGATTTTTTTATCCGTTTGATTCATCAATTTTTTTATCCGTTTGATTCATCAATTATTTCAGATTAAATTCTGAAGAAGTTTATATGAGAATAATCCTCTTAATTCAATTTATTTCATTCGTAAACGTTAAAATAAAGATTAAATGTTAAAGTAATTATAACGCAGGATGAATATGGTAGGTTTCAAGATCACCAATTCCATGACAGAAATGGAATGGGAAAGGGAAACCAGCGTGATGGGCAGGCATAACAGTTGCAGAACATAGTAAAGTAGAAGAGTGAAAGCAATTGCATATCGAATTAATGCAGAAGGCAAATTATATTGAATCTTATAGCATTATAACAGGAGAGCGGGTACAGGAGAAACAAGAGCATTAACACTAGCCTTTTCCCTTGTCTTCCCCTTTTTTTCTCATCATTCTCTAGACCATTGCTAAAGGTGCACTGCCCTATAAAACCCTCATTTAAACCTCCCACTGAAAAGGATATATTCAATACTCTCCCATTCACTGTAATAAATAATAATACAAAGAAAGAAGAGAAAAAGCTGGTAACATGAAAAAATTGCAGAAAACTTCCCTAATTGTGAAGAGGATTAGGACCCGTATGAACTATCCTCTTTTCATCTTCATTCCCAGCAAACTGAGATAAGCTTGATGGAGCATGAAAAGAAGCAGTGTCCAAAAACTGGGTTTTCCTTGGAGGATGAAACGTAATACTAGTGCTGGTGCTGGCTTCTTCATTATGAACAGCACAATGGGAACTAAACTGATAAGAAATCAAGATAATATACATCAAGAAAACTACAGGTCTAACTCCACTAAATCTTCCAGTGCCACCTGTAAGAATTTTCATTGCAGCTGAAGCATAGAAGGACCAAATAGGATAATGCTGAGTTGCTGTATACAGTGTAAAAAAGAAGGGAGTTTTGAGTTAGTACTCTCTCTAAATCTATGGAATTTGAGAGGAAAAGAAAAGGTCCTTACCTTATTGGAGTGGTCACATGATCTTGACCCTTGATTCCCGGGAACTTCTTATTTTTCCGCTTCTGAAATCTTTGGACTTTGCACCTTTTTTACTCTCCCACTGCTCGAATTTTCTTTGCATATGTTTTCTAGTTTTGGTTTGTGATTGTTTATTACATACTGTATGTACTATTTTTTTGTTTCTTTTTTTACACTCAAATGTTGCTGGGAGAGGGTGTTGGAGAAGACAGTCCAGTCTTAATAACCGTTGTCTGCGGGAATTTACACTTTTATATTGCTGTTTGATGCGCCATTGCCCTTGGGTAAAACAACACTTGACCCTCTCCTACTCTTTCTATTTGTACCACTGTTTCTGTTTCTGTATAATGAATTAATTGAATTGCATGTCCTACAAATACCCTTCCTTCGTATTTCTATATACTAGACCTAAAACGGTCTATTTATCTTTTAGATTGAAGCACTTCTTATATATTATGATTTATGGTTCAACTGAATCTCGAGATACATGTTCGAAGATCCGCCTGGAGGGATCGGCATTGCAACCGCCGGTCTTGCTGATGACGTCGCCTGCCCCTGCAGATGCTGCCTATCCTTGGGTGCCTGCAACGGGATCATGCCGGTCACTCAGTCAACAAGCCAGGCTGTATCATAGCCTGCTCTGCCCGACTCCCAAACAACTTAACCATGGTTTTGGGGTTTCCTAGGAAAGTCAACACCAAGTCCTATGATTAATTTTTTCCTATAAATAGAAGATGAAGCCACAATGTTAGAG